GTGTTAAAAGACTGAATTATATGAACGCGGCACTTTTAATAAAATGGTGGTTGAGGATCCATACACAATCTGATTCTTTCTGAGTGATTGTTCTGAGAGATAAATATTGAATGGATTTGAACTTTGGCCTTATTAAAAGTCCAAAAAACAAAACAAGTTTGTCCCATGGTTGGAGAGGTATTCACTATGAGAGATATGTTTATCTACGCCAATTCTGAAAAATAGTAGGGAATAGAGAATCCACTCTCTTTTGGTTTGACAAATGGATTGGAGACGACCCGTTGAGATACCTTTTCCCTGAGGTTTTCTTAAAACCTTTAAACCCACTAGCATATGTCAAGGAGGCTAGTGGGGGTGTTTATACTAATATTGTTTGGTCAATTCCTTACAGGTACAGGAGAGGTACTAACAGATTCATTGAGGAGTATCAAACATTATTGGAATTATTAAATGACATATATTTGACTCCAAATATAGATAATAGCTTTATTTGGGATCTTACCTCCTCGGGAGATTTTTCGGTTAAGTCAACCTATAATTTATTATTTTCAGATTGTTGGAGAGAGTTGGATCCTAGTTTATTCAAGATTAAGAAATTGCATGTGCCTTTTAAAGTGCAGCTATTCTTATGGATGTTATGCCAAGATAAATTAGCAACTGTTGACAACTTGAGAAAGAGGGGATTTATTATCCCTAATGTATGTATCCTATGCAAAGACAGTGATGAAACTTTGCAACATCTTTTCCTCTCATGCATTTTTGCTTGGCATTGGGCTCGATAGTGCCTCAATCTGTTATTACTTTTGCTCCATAATGTCAGAACTCTTCTTGACCAATGGATCACACCCAATATTTCAAAGTTGAGAAGTATTCTTTGGAGATCTATTTGGGTTAGTCTTCTTTGGAGTGTGTGGAAGGAAATACATAGAAGAGTTTTTTATAGTATAAGTACAGATTTGTCGACATTAAAATCGAATATTTTGGCAGTTACAGCTGACTGGTTCCTCACTCATAAGGATAGTAGCTCTATTCCTAAAAGTATTATCATTAGTAATCTCTTGACAATTGCAACTATAGGTGTTAGCACTAACACTCGTAGTGAGGTTGTTTAGATACTACTACCAGTGAATTCCTTCAAACTTGATTTTGATGGAAGTTCACTTGGGAATCTAAGACCAATTAGCTATGGTTGTCTCTTTAGAAATAATTTGGGCCACATTATATTCTCTTACTCATGTCCTTGTGGTATTACAATAGCAAATGAGGCGGAAGCACGATGTTTATTAGAAGGTTTGAAATTGCTATGCACTTTGGAAGGGGGCATTATTATCGAAGGAGACTCGGCAAATGTCCTTGCTTGGAGCAAGAGAAAGGCCCATATTCTTTGGAGATTAAGGATTATTTTTCATCAAATTTGGGATATTTTGTCAACCTCTATGGCAATGGTGCAATATTGTTATAGAGAGACGAATGAAGGTGTCGCTGTTCTTGCCAAAGAAGGAGTCCATACTCCATCTCTGTTGGTTGCTTCATTTTTGTAATCTTGTGTCCTTGCTAAAATATCTTGTATTTTACACTTGAATTAATGATGGTAACTTCATTTTTGTAATCTTGTGTCCTTGCTAAAATATCTTGTATTTTACATTTGAATTAATGATAAGTCATACGTTACCGTTTAAAAAAAAACCATTACATGAGTCACTCCTCGAATAAAAAACTTGTGTTTTTGTGCAAAAAAGTTAGTATAAAAGGATCACATAAAATGACAAATTCGAGAAGGGCTCAAAGTTCCTCAATAACGGAACAACTCTGTCTTCTAGAAAAATGCCAAAAATGCATTTTCTCCAATATTATGATGCATTTATGCTTTCTTCAAGACATATTGCGAAAAATATCAAAGTTTATTTAATAATTTTTGGTTTTTTAATTTTTAATTTTTATTTTTATTTTTTATTTTTACAATGAATTTTTTGGTATTGTTTTCAAATATAGAGAAGAAAAACATTTATTTAATAGTTGAAACACATTTATGTTTTCTACTTATCGGTAAACATAATAAGTAGATTTCTAACGAGAAAGTACATTTTAATATTATGGATTTAGACTTAATAGGTTAGTAAAAATAATTTATTTTTGTAGGAATATATAATCTCTCACATGGGGATCATTAATGTATAAAACTAATTAAATTTTTAAAAGTAAAAATGATATTATTTGAAGAACAATTTTTTATGGTTAGTTTTATCCTTTCGGTGGCACCACAATTTCTTTGTTTCCATAGAGGCTAGGTGCACCGGGGACGCTAATGTTGAATTGCGCCCCCTTGCACAATACACTTTCCCGAAGCCTTTTTCACTGTAGCAACAATCGCCTTCATCTCTAATGCAAATATTGGGGATGTTTAAACTACTCTGTCACGAAGTTTTTAGGCCTCATTGAAGAGTGGGAAGTTATGGGAAAGTATTGATTAAATTGTCAAATCACCTAACAGAAACCTCAATATTAGGATGGTTGCATTTTGACTCTTATTTCAATCAAGTGCCTCTCCAAAAAGATGTAAAAGAGAACAAACTACCCTTGTCTAGGATTAGAAACTAGGCCTGGCAATGGGCAAGAGGCCCTCCCCAGCCTAGTCGACCGGGTCTGGTCTTGACTAGGGCCTAGGTCACAAAATGTGACGTGAGTTTCAAGCCACATGGCTCAAGGACTGGGCCTTGGCTATGGTTCCGATAGGGCTGGCCCTGGCCTGGCACTATGTTTTCCGTAGGTTATTTTTTCTTGGAGTCTATTAGCCCTAGTTCTGGCCTACAGCCATGGGCCTTCAGGCTAGTCCAACCCAGGCCAGCCTCAAGCCTGTCATATAGGGACCCGGTCCGAGCTCCGGATAGGGTTAGCTGGCATGTTACCAACCCCGCTGGAAACCTTGAAATTATGGATATTTTAGTTATTTGACTAGCAAAGCTAAAATGATGATAATATCTCTAGTTTTTTTGCAACTTCGGATAATACATTATTGATTTAGGGCTCACAACATGGAGTTCACTTATTTTCATTGTAAATCAGTATTTTATGTTGCTATCTTTGAACAACCAAGGTTTTTTTCGTCATGCCATTTGAATAGTGTCAAATTGCTAAAATGTTCATGTTTGTTTAAGTATTCAATCCTGAACATAGATAATTTATTCATTTTTTAAGATATTCTTTTAAAGGTACTTATAGAAGTGATTTAATTGAATTATTGTCCCTTTATGTTTTATTAGGCAATGCGGAATGTGTTTTAAAGACATCGAATCATGTTTATCATTTATATAAGTTGCCAAGGATATAATAATAAAAGAGTAATGCAAAGGAAGGCATAATATTTAGTGGTCAAGAAGTCGGGTAAGCTTTTTATGCTTCCCCTATAGCATGAAACTTATATGCTTCCCCTTATCCAACCGTTCATTCTGAATGGACGGCTGAGATGGCTCCAATCACAATATCACCTCTCTACACTATTTTATTTTTAAGTTTTTCTATACAAATTATTTTGACACCAAATTTTGGGTGTCCACTCCTCTCTTAAACTCGCATTTATAAAAAATATTATCAATAAAATAAAATGATCAAAATATCCCTCCAAGTTTCAAGGGGTACTTTGGTTATTATATTTTGTTGAAATATTCTTTTTAATATTTTGTTTATGTGCGTACCATTGGGAAGATGGCATGTACCAAATTTTATATTCATATAATATGTAAAAAAAATTAAAAATAAAATAATCTGAAGCGTCAGACCTAGATCAAACAATGAGTGGCTCACTTGATCTAAATTGGACGGGTAGATAAAGGGGGAAACATATATCTTATATGCTTTTTTTTTTTTATAGAAACATATATCTTATATGCTGTAGGGGAAGTAGAAACCTTTCCCCAAAAAGTATAGCATGTATTCACATTCAAGACTATGTTTTAGTTGCAAATATACTCTCATTATATATGGGAAAAGTTTATATAGAGCCACGGCTCTAAACAATCAAATTCGAGCCTACCTCAAAAATTTCACTAGAAGATATTGTTTTGATGCCCAAATATCCTCAAATTCATCATCTCGATATCAAGATACATGGACATGATAAAAAAATAGATTTCAAGTTTTGGAAATAGTGTATTTTGTAATACAGTTTTGGACTGTCAAATTTCAAGATTTTCAAGTTGTCATAGATCT